CACACACACGCGCGCGCGCGCGCACGCACGCACGCACGCACGCACGCATACACGCGCATGCGCACGCGCACACACACACACATACACACACATGCGCATACACGCGCATGCGCACGCACGCACACATAAGTGACACACGCATGCGCACGCACGTACCGCACGCGTACGCAAGCATATGCACACATGACACGCACATGCGGATGCACGAGTATGCGCACACACATCCGCATGCACACAAGTGACACACTTTGAATAATGTTAATGCCGGCGGTACTTTAACATTCAAACCTCATAACTCGAAAAATACTTAACGAAAAAATATTTTATTATAATACATATTTTGAAAAGCTCTCAAGACTAAGCTACAAGAATATGTAATAAAAAATATGGGGTTTCATTTAAAAAAATAGACGTGTCCTTGACTTCTTGGCTTTAGCGACGCTACTTCCTATCTCAGAGTTGTGACATACCAAAAAAAAATTCCTTAGGCTGTTTAGTTCATTTTAGATTTGACGTATTTTATCTTCGATAATCAATATTATAATGCAAACGTATGATATGTTTATGGGATCTCCCTTATCACTGATCATAGCTGACTTAGTTATACAGGTCATCCTGCATAATTAAGTCAACTTATGGAGAATGAGGTATTTGGCAGAATTATAATTTACATTTGCCCTTTTATTTAAGATACTTATATTGATGATTTGGTCACGACCGTTTCCATTACTTCAGTGAACACAATTCTTAAACATTTTAATTCATCGCAGACTTCAATTCATTATTGAAATTCGTAAAAAAAAATACTTTCCCAACACTCATGTCAAAAAAGAGGAATCGTGATAAACCTTGTAGATAAAATATTTTTCGCATACAACGTTCCACCAAAAAAATTTGAAATTCATTCAATATTTTATTGACTATCTGAGAAAATGACTATCCAATTAATTTTATATTTTACACATCTGAACGATTAAAATGCTTGATTAGTAACTAATCTATACGACAAAAAAAGACAACAATAATCCGAAAACTATTTGAACTACAGTTCACTGTTCCATACATAAAAAATATTTTCAACAAATTTAAAGGCATCGTAAATAATATATACACATAAATGTCCTTTTTCAATCTTAACAAATTAGATAAAATTATTAGGGTGCATAAAGACTTATTTCCTGACTCCTCAAAAAGAAATGTTATTTATCAAATAAATTGTAATGATTGTGATGCGTCTTACATGGATCAAATGAGTAGAAAATTAAAAACCAGTACATATTTCAAAACATTTTATCATATTAAAAGAAATACATTATTACATTCGGCTATAACAGAGTATAGAACGCATTACAATCATGAATTTCGTTGGGATGAGATGGAAATTTTTGATGTGAAAAAAAAATTTTAATAGCAATTCATATCTGAAATGTTACATTAAACAACAATGTAACGGTCTTAACTTACAGACAAATATGGAAAATCTTGACTCTGCGTATTTTACGATCTTCAATATCGACTAAATATTTATATATTTATCTAAAGAGAAGCCTAATCGAAAGCTCGAAACATGTAATATTTTCAATCGGTTATAGAATACAATAGTATTTATTATGTAATATACAAATTTTTTAACATTAAATTCAAATTTTGACTTACATACCCTATAATATATTTATTATTTATATGTTTAAAAATCTAACATCTCTACGTGACTTTAATTAAATTGACAACATTTATTGTCAGTCTCAAATTAGACACGGACGTGGTAGGACCGTTGCCACACTACATTATATTCGTGTAAATTATTTTAAAGAAATTGTATTACACTCCCAATAATAATGGTGACCATCACCACAGAAATACTATTGATTGCGGCGGCTCGTGATGAGTGTTGTTAAAATTACGGTGTCTGTACTTTCATTTTATTATACTGTGTGAATGTCCACATTGTTTCAGTTTCTGATTCTAATGAATCATGCAACTGTTGGACAATTCACATAAACTATGGAAATGCGGTTAGTTGCACATTTATCCCAGTGAAAAATGACAATCGAATCGGTGTCGATTCGAAATCATCAAATTGACGTCGAATTAACATTGATTCGACATCGATTTTATTATCATTTCTCACTGGGATACTGTTAGCTTTATACTGAAGATGACTTAAAGATGAGTCGAACCGTCTAATTTTTTATATTTCAACTTTATGTGATAAACACGATATATAGTTCGCACTATTAACTGCGCTGACTCCCACAGCCCTTCTTTCACAATTTTATTTAAAGTAAGTTAATTTATTTTATTATAAATTTTTAATTTTCAACATTAGAGGTTAAATTGATTTCAGTAATTCTATTTTTTTAATATCTTATTTATTAATTATTTAAAATTGTCATATTACTATTTATAACGAAATAAGCGAAATACGCTTACATATATTAATTAATTGTGGCCTATAAGGGATAGCGATTTGTAGTCACGCGTTGATTTTTTCATCTTACTAAGAATTCCCGAGCCACAACGGGAAATGAGCTTCCCTCGCACATAAGGTGATAATGAAAGGAGTAACACGATAAAGAATATGTCTCAACCATTTACACGCTGATCGCGTTTGATTCCGTGTAGCACGATGTAAGGAGTTTACAATGTGTAGGTATACGTGTTCGGAAAATAATGATAAATCTTTTGCATAGGGGCAAAATGGATTAAACTGAGAAGAAAAGTCCTTTACCATTTTACAATTTTTACAATAATTAACGAAATATTAATTTCTAAAAATTGCTGAAAATTGGTCTTCAATATTTTTTTACTCAAATACTATCAATTTTACAAAAAAACTGCAAGAGACAAAAATTGTTTATTTTCTTCTCATAAAATTCTAAAAATTTTTTCAGAATTTTTTATCAATTTTTTAGTACTGCATTTTTTCATTTTTACCAATATAAGAAAATACCAATATGAAAAAATTCTAAAAAAATTCTTAGAGCTTTATGAGAAAAAAGTAAATAATTTTTGTCTTTTGTAGTTTTTGTAAAGTTGATAATATTTGAATAAAAAATTATTGAAGATTTTCGGCAATTTTTAGTAATTAATATCTTGTTAACTATTACAAAAATTGTAAAATGGCAGAGGACTTTTCTTCTCAGTTTAATCCATTCTGTCCCTATGCGAAAGATTTATCATTATTTTCTGAACACTCTGTATATAATCCGATGAACGAGATAGATCTTCTTATTTCTCGAATTAGATTGAAGGAAAATTGAAATTTATTATACGGATTGTTAAAAACGAGAATTGTTTGATAGCAATTCTCACCATAATTTTTATCGTTCCTATCTCAATGCCATTAAATTCCAATTTATTTCAACATGTGGCTCACCGTCATTCTTGCCAAAAAAAGAAAAGGAAACAAAATATTACGAATGTACATATAATCATAAAACGTGCAATTATAAAATGAAATAAAGAATGGCTGGCTCTTAAAAAGATCTAAGCAAAGATATATAAAATTATGATGTAAATTTTACAGCCATTATCAACTCGTATTGGTCATATATTTTCGGTTTGTCTAGATTTACGTGATTATTTTCTCTTTAACCTAATCTATTTTTATAATGTTTTATATACTTAAGATAGAAATATTACTATATTAAAATAGGTTATCTATATATTGCTAATCAAGTAATTGTTTTAAAAGAAGAGATTGTTTAGAATATCTAATAGTATCTTCATCTCGCATATATAAAGTAATAAGTTCGAATAATAAGAAGAGCTCACTTATCATCATCGGATTCAGATGCGGCCTGTTTCGTGATTAGGAAAATATAATAAAGTTATATAAAAGAAAAAGTTTAATAAAAGAAATGAATATATAGTAGGTAGGGAGGACAAAACACGTATATACTGTAGAATATTAATTCAAAAAGATCTTAACACAGTGCGATTTCGTGCCAGTTGTGTTTGTAGAGACGTGACAACATCCGTCAACATCACCCTCTCTGTCAGTATGTGTTAGAATATGTCAGAAGATATTCTGAATATACGAGACCCAAGCAATAAATCAATATTTCAAATATATATATTGTTAGGTCACTTTCGTACAAAAAATACATTCGCAAGTATAAGGAAGAAGAAAAAAAGGAAATTACGACGCGAAAAATACAAGTGGCACAAAATTGTACGAAGCCTGTTGCAGACTCAGGAACAAAATAAGAGGAATGTTATATTTCCTAATACTACATCGAGCCTGTAACAATGGGGCCATATTTTCACAAAGAACGAAAGTGCGTGTTCTCTCATATTTAATGAAAATAAAAGTAAATGAAAAATGAAATTCTAAATATCTGCATCGATTATACAGTGCAGAGTACGGGTTGGGCCTAAAAGATAAAAAAAGAGGAAGTTAGAGGACTCAACTTTTATTGCTCATATATATGTTTGTAATAAGAGTAACTTTTGTAATTGCATTTGTTCCAGTACCATCCCGTATCGGCGGGCATTTATTAAACAGATTTAATTGAATGTACAAAGTGTCTCATAACTACCACATTTCCTCTTAAGAACGTGTCCTTGAGATAATTTTAAGACAAAAATCCTAATACAAAAATATCGAAGCTACAATAGTTTTTGAATTATAATTGATTAAAGATAGTATGTAATTCAAAAACTATTTAAGCCTAAAACTATTTTATAGCCTAAAACTATTATAGCCTCGATATTTTCGTATTAAGATTTTCGTCTTAGAATGTTCGAAAGAATCCAAAAATAATAATAGAGGCTATAAAAGTAAAATGGTTTTTGACTTATAAGTATTTAATTTTTTATTATTTTTATTTCAAAATTACTTCAAGAATATCTTAAGAGGAAATGCGGTAGTTGTGAGACACCCTGCATAATATATGATAACGAGAATTGTTTGATAACGTTTCCCATCATAATTTCTGTCGTCTTCCTACCCCAATATCCCAATCAAATTCCAATTCGTTTCGTTACACGGCAGCTCGCTGCCATTCTTGCCAAAAAGAGAAAAGGAAACAATAAATATTATGAACGCGATAATTTATTATTAGCGTGACACATGTAATCATGAATTATAAGGTAGTAAATCGCCATATTTGATACTTTGTACGTTTCGATATAATTTAGTACGAAAAAAAGACTCTTTAGAGCGTACCAGCGCGCGATTATATGTACAAAGAGAAAATTTTAATTATAGATAGATAATTTACCTGGTGAATGTGAATTGTAAATTTTATTAATCCTACAATGTATCATTTTGGAATCGAAATATAATAATTTTGTCGATAAATAACATATACGTATAATTTAATTAACATTTCTAAATTAAATTAAATTAATTAAGTTAATAATTTTAATTATATTTAGTTAGTGGCTCCAAAAATAAAAGTAAAATATCTTATGATCCTCCGCGTTTGTTAATTCATATATTTATAAAGCAATAAGATAATTTGCAAACAATTGGAATGTGTGCAATTAACTTCGTTTAGTAAATACACGTTCCAATTATTGGCGAATTATATCTTATCACCTTGACGAATAATTTACACGCTACTTACCGCGAAGGTTCATATTAGATATTTAAAGTACCCATCAGTTTCGAAGTATACGAAAAAGTTTCTGCGCTTTTCGTGCCTTTCAGAATAAAATGATTATAGATATACTGCGTAAAATTGCATGATTTTATTCGGACAGAGATGAATATAATCAACAAGTATCACCACTTAATGATTTATTTTCGCGATCGTATGAAACTGACGCGCAACATTAAATACAACCGTTTTGTTATTATGACAATGAAATGAATTCAAGTATTTTAACTCGAATTTTTTTTTCCTTTTTTTATTCAACAGACAGTACTTGAGTCATGAGCATGCGTATAATAAGGATGACGATTACATTTTATTAAAATAAATGCAGTAACAGTTAAATGCAAATTACATCTCTCTCTGGTGATATATATCCGTAAACATGAATAATCCTTACACACACGATATAAAATAATATAACAAGATATTTTGTAAGTGTGTCTATAAGATTAAACTTATTTAATAAATTGCCGTTGTCTTCATTTAAATAATGCATTTTCATAGCATTATCAACAATTTAAATACGACATGACAATATCTTTACATCATCCAGAACTGAAGGACGCTGCATACGAATTTATAAAATACAATGTATATAATTTAAAAGATAT